TTTTTTTTTTTTTTTTTTTTTTTTTTTTTATAAAAACGGTAGTCAATAAATTTGTATATAGAGAGAGAGGTACGTTTTTTCAAATACTGAGGATTTATAACAAAGACATGCAGGAAAGGACACAATGGAATAAATGAGATTACAGGAAAATGTAAGAGCTGCAGTAGCGCAATATCTCGTTCTTATATGGTTACAAATACCGCCGTGGCTTCTGTCAAAGAGATTTAGTGGCAGCAGCATTAGTATGGCCTTGTTCCAATTTCGCAAGAATTGAAGTTCGTAAAGATCACGGTACGTTTCGTGGCAGGCTGTGTTTTCGGCCAAGTACTTATCCAATATTTCCGTGATTTAAAAGCGAGATTGGAGCTTCGAATGGCCACACGCGAGAGACACAAGAGTCCCGGGACTATTTGTGGCAGCGACTGTATGCACACGTGATAATACATACACGCGAGCGCACAAAAGGTTCGGCCTTACGTATGGCGGTACGTGATACCAGTTTCTACGTGGGTGCTGGACATTTTACGACTTTCGGTGGACTCGGAAAGAGGGATGTCTCTTTTATAGGAGAGGTAGTGAATTTCTGGTTTGATTCTGCGATAACTATCTCATCTGCGTGCGCCGGCGAGTTTCATGAAATATTCGTCTGGCACGTTTCCGCGATGGTTGGCGCGCCGCGCTTGAGAAAGAGGCGGCCAGACGCGTATATAATTAAGACGCGTGTGCGCTAATATTATATTAAACACTCGTTATTTGTTATCTCAATGGGAAAAGCGTAAAAGAAACGAGATACTTTCTTTTCTTTTCCTACAATTGTAAATCACTCGCTTGTTCGGGGCCAATTAAAAGAGGCGCGGCTCTTAGATTTTAGCGGTGCGTAACCGGAACGCTACGCGTGTAACGTATGCGCCGTTAAATTAGAGAAGAAATCGGGAGATAATTATTAGCACACGGAAGGATAGCTGATACAATCGTAGGAGAGTCTCTGGACTGACGCAGACTGAGAAATGTTGTTTCGCTGCCGTGTCTACGATGCTTTACGATGTGTATCGATCTGCATTATATTCGTTCACCGCGATTGCGACTAGACTGAGAAATTATTCGGGCTCTCCCCTTTTATCCATAAATTAATTAACGTATTTATTTAATAAAGCCAATCTCTCACGATCGCTTTGTCAATGCGTGCTTATTTATTAAAATGAGGATACCTATAGGATATATCAGATGCCCCGGCGCTTTCTCTCGACTACAGAATACAGAGTTTCTATAGCTAAGAGAAAATTACCAATTTCTATATATTACCGATAAAAAGCAATAAACGTATAAATTTACATCGCCAAATTATTTCTTTTAACGTGAACGCTTAGCTGCGAGCAAATTCGAGACGATGAACATCGCCGGGAGATAATATTGTTTATAAATCATTTGTGTAGATCGACCGAACTTTTTTCTTGATTTTTACTGTTTTTCCTATATTATTACATAGAATTAGACTCTTCTCTTTCATAATAATATCGGTGCACAGTATCATCATCGATTTTTGTCGTTCCCCTTATTCCGACGGCTAGTTTCAACACTTTTGGGGTCTCGTCTCTTCCGCTCGTTAACTGGGAAGAGTCGGGGCTTATGGTAATTTAAAGTAGTCATCCCCAGTCGATTCTTTCCTAAAGCTATTAGGCGATCATCTCGGATTATCCTACGATTCCGGGTTTACTCGGAACTCGACTTTTCTAAGTTTTCGCCCTTTCGCATGCTCGCAATACATTCAGCTGTGTATGCTTGCCTTTCTCGTCGATCCGTTTGGATTAGCGCAGCCGGATATATACATCTCTATACTTGGAATAAAAAAAAACGAGTTAATTCCGTCAAACGAACGAAAACTGTGTGTAAGATGCTCCTCGAACGTTTCTCGTGAGAAACAACGCCGAGAAGACCATCGGAGAAATATATTATTCTTGCCGAGTGCCAATTACCGGCGTAACGATTATCAGATCTCACCGGATTGGTAATTATGTATTACGTCGGTACAATGTTGGGCTTGTTACAATCACGTCTTATCTCTTGTGATTGTATTAGTAAGGAAATAATTTTTTTCTCCGCGTGCCGTTGCGAGTAACTGTACAGGTCCCGGGGTCGTTACCACATTATCATTACTTACGTCTTTGTTATCGAGAAAATGCGACCTGCTCTCGCGCGCGGCAACCTTACAATTAGATTCTCAGGGTGTTATGAGGGCACCGCTATTGCTGCCTGTGTCTCGCTGTGCGTGCATGCACATGACCTGGCTGAGAGAGATAATCGAAGGAAAATACAGTTAAAACTATCAATGTATACGCGCCCTAAGTGGCCGTAAATTATAATTACCGCAAAATCCCATGGCGCCGCAGTGGCGATAAGTCATATTAATTGCCATTAAAGAGAGTAGCGTTGCATGACTCCGTTCATTTTGACGAGGCACCTCTTTTGGAATAAAATAAGGTACCTCAGAGAGAAAAGTCGAGAATGCTAAAAATAGACGCAGAACGAGCGGGAGGAGATTGGCCTTTTTTTTTTTTCACGTCGAAAATTAGCGACAGGTTTGACGGAGAGTCGTCACGCTAACTCCGCACTGCCTGTCGTCGCGATTTTTATAAATCGCTTATGACGCGGTCACGTGAGACAGACTTACGTACCTGCGCGAACGATATCGCGGACAAGAAGGTGGTAGCAGTTTCCAACGAGGCGCCCTACGGGGAGTTCCCGACAGCACAGCGGAATAACTTTGCGGTTGATTTATACTTCCGACAGACGTAACGAGCTTGCGGTCAGACCGCGGCGTCACGCGTCCATCGCCTGCACAAAAAAAAAGGAAATAATGAAAAGGATAAATCAATAAGAATATCGCGTTTTGTTTCTCATTGCGCAAATCAGCCGTATATACCTGCATCTGCGCACTCAGGTTCCGACCTTAAATTGAAGACTTGACATAAATAAGATTACACGCGCGAATTGAAATTGTCTTTTTGGCTCCAAGGCTATCCTGCGTGTGCAAAAATTGGAAATCACTTATTTATCAAAAGCATTAAGAGAATTTTACTAAATATGTAAATATATTACGTATTTTTCATTTACATCTTGTTTTCAATGTATAAAGTTTACAGAAAGTATGGTTTTGCTAAAAATCTAAAAATTTAGCTAAATATATGTAGATGGAAAACAATTTTATTGATCAACTATCAAAATGATTATGTAAGATACTCAATTTGGTTGCTAGAATGTCAAAATTTTTTGCATTATTCATCATGCTTGAGTTTTCTACATAATCATTTTGATGGTTCAACAAAATTACTTTCAGATCTATACTAGTTAATTTTTTAAACAGCAAAATTCATCTTTCCATATAATATTATCTCTGTATACATAAGTCATGATAAAGAAGTAAGAAAAAGAAGGTTGACGTGTACGTTTCTTATAGAATAGATATTTATGAGTATATATGTTTTTAATATGAAACGCGTAAGTTTGAAGGAAAGAGGGAAGATCGCTTTCTGACATCTCTTTTACCTCCGTCGGTTTCTTTGTCACGTTTCACAAAACAACTTTAGGTCCACTGTTAGGAGATGTTTAACGAGATAGTAGATTCGGACAGGATGCTTGACTCGTTGACTATCAATGACTCAAATGTGTAGTTATGCTTCAGATATAACTTACACAAAATATTTATGTTACATTTTAGCGCTGAATAAGCAAAATATTTAATATTTAAAAATGAGAGAGACGTGAGTAGATTCTCGCTAAATATAAACTTCCTCTGGAATCCTTAGCGTTAAATAAAATGTTATTAATGATGAAAAGAAAAATAATTGCAGAGTTTACCAAAAAAATCTGAATAATATCGAAATTTAATTAAAAGAAAGAAATTAAATCTTCATAGTTTCGTTAACATTGAAAACACTAAAAATCAATAGAAGAAATTACGAAGAATAAAACAAATAACGTCGTGCGGTGTCGAGACAGTATTCTGCAGCGGACAATCTCGGGAGGACGGAAGAAGAAGAAACAGTGAATGAAAAGGCCAACTCGAAGATTTGTGGAGCCACCGGTTTTCGTCTCGTAGTCGTCTTCGTGGCTGACGTATATGTTATTCGAAGAAGAGTCTTCCTCCCGCGAGAGGATACGGCGAAGGGGCGACGAAGAGGAGGATAGCAGGGTACGGTCGCGGAATACCTAACGACTTTGGGAGTTTTGGGACATCAAGGAGGGGCCATGAGGCTTGTCGCAGAGGTCCCAAAAGTTTGCAGCACGGCGAAAAGAAACCGAGAGAAGGCCGAACGAGACCCGTCGCGCGCACAGCGTTTTTTGCGTTTAACCTCCTCCTGTCTCGCCTTTTATTTGGGCCAGACGGGAATTCGGCTAAATGCATTGATTAAACTGCTGACATCGTTCGGGCGACTCGGTGGCCACCGTGTCTCCGCGGGTCCAAGAGCTGGCCCTTTTTTGCCGCACTCTCCGTCCTCTCTTTCATTTTTGTCCCGTCACTTTGGACCGCGAATCGTAACTCGTACTTCATGTTCGACAATCAGTGGCTTCATACGATCGGCGGCCAGAGATAATCGTATTGTTGGTCAAGGAATTTTGCGATGTGGAATTTGACGTTGTTTAACAAACGCTTCGGAACTGGTCTAATCACGACAGAACATTCCGTTGCAATTATTACATCTCTCGCTTATCATATCGAGAGAATGACACACTTGATGATGGTTAAATTAAGATCGATTTCGTAGTTTACAGGAGACAGGTGATGAAGCAAAGCGAAAGAAAGATGCTGGTATTTAATTCAGAATATAAACATTCATTAATCATAAATTATAGTTCGGAAAGATAATAAGTATCTATGTAAAAAAATCTAACATTTCCCCGTTACCTTTTTAACTGCGGCTCTTATTCGATTAACGTGGGTACGCACTATCGATTCCATCTTAATAAACGCGAAGCGATAGCTGGCGTGTCATTAATATTCTGTAATATGATATAAATATACGGGAGATGTGGAAAGAACGCGGGTAATACACGGCTCGAGATTAATTTGACAGGCAGTCTTGTCACGTGTATTTTGTAACAAGGTGTGAGAGAGAGAGAGATCGTATTGATATATACAGATAGAGTAATTACGTAGGCAATATATATAAGTGTCAAATGTAATGAGTTATTTGCAGAAATTAGTACTCCCCCTTGATATGCAAAGTACTTAATCTATGCATTTTTCCCGGATTGAGAGGAAAATTTAATTGGCCAGATTGAATGATTATAGAGGCGTTTTTCTCCTTTGGGGTTTTTACCGAACTACTCCGTCCTTTTAATTAGTCCGGACTTCGCCACGATATGAAAAACGTGCCACGGATGATATGAAATGCAGAAACGAATGCGTCTTTTCGCAGGTCGTTCGAGGTAAGTTTGGCATGCATCGCTCGCTCCTTTGAACAACGAAGAGCCATCTATGGAATTACCCTAATGATTAATGGTACGGCGCTGGCTCGGGGCACCCTTCCACCTTGTTTTCCAATTCTTCTCCGCTCTTCTCCCTTCTTTCCCCGCGTGTGCCCCACCACCTACATCCATCGTGGCTGCTACCGGCCCATCTTGGGCCCAAAGGCTCCAGGGGCTTTGGAACTCGCGGTACACAAGCCGGCCGACGAACCGCGTTCGGTTATGTAAAAAAGCGTACAATGTTAAACCCGCATTGCCCCTGCCAACCATATCTCATCTGCTCGTCCGTCCGTCCGTCCGTCTGTCTGTATTCCTCTCTTCATCTTGTCTTCTCCATTTAATCTAGATTAAATATTTAGATTACTTTGTGTATCTCTCGCAATCGCGAACTTTATTAAGATCCAGCTTTCTGCTTTTGTCGATGTGTTGCTTGCGGCTAGTTAATGTTATTTGTAAATTGCTCGCAGAGATGTTCTCATCTCTCGTTTAAACTTCCAATAATTCAACGTATGAACAAGAGCACGATGACGTATACACGACTTCCACTTTGCTTCTTCCTTGACTTTCATATTTTATTTTATATTTATTACTGATGAACACTAAGTTAAAGAGAGAATCTGTTTGTATTTTCTTGTATTGCTGCTTGGACGTACGTTCTATTAATCTATTTTACGTTTTATGTATATATAATTTAATAATTTTATGTGCGACTCTCTCTCTCTTTCTCTCTCTTTGAGAATAGATTTTCAACTTACATCGAATAGGTCATGTATGTTAGGATTTTTGCAGCCTAAAGCAACTGTTTCTACGAAAAATCCTTTTATCTGAGAAATGAAATTGTTGACGGTGCGAACGCATTAGTCTGTCTCTCGCGAAGGCGTAATTGTTTGCCACGAGCCAGAAAAAAAGGAAACACAGGACGAAACCACGCAGGTACGAAGGACAGGGAGGGGAGAGGGGGTACGGCGAGATATGACCCAGGGCAAAGTCGAGCGGCGTGTAAGAATCGGCTGGCGAAGAAGGAAGAGATATAGCGAATTCGGGATTGCATGTCGGGGAACAGTAAGACCTCCCAAACAACCCCGACGGGGGCATCTTCCCTGGGAATAGCAGTGATTCCGGGGAAATGTGCAATATCTTCCGTGATCGGGTATTATTACGTCGTGATTACGGGTTTTGATCTAGGCTAGAAGCGTCCAGAGACCTTCCCCTCTCACTACATCACCCTCTCTTCTCTCTTTCTCCCCCTCGACACTCTCTGTTCACCGTCTCGCTATATTCGCGGCGATGCAGCGTCGATGATGCGGCTGTATAGGAACAAGTCGAGGGAACGGCACCGAGTTCGGGAAGGGAGACGTATTGTCCTCGGCGACTGCGGTCGCCATCGTCGCCGTCACGTCGTCATGCGATTCGTGACGGCCGCCGCGAATCGCCGTGGGAAGCCACGTTAGCTTCCATTTCGCTTTCTCTCCTCCTTCCCTCCTCTTTCCTTCTATTCCGGCGCGTTCTCCACGTCTTCCTCTCGATTACGGCCAACGGGGTAATGAACGACCTTATGCCGCAATGCCGTTGCCGGCTGCTCTTTCATCTCCTCCCCCGCGATAGTCCTGCCACGAAAATGGCGATTCCTGCAGTCGGTCCGCTACCCATGAGATCCGATCAGATCTAACTGTTTCGGATCGGCACGATCGAGACATGCTCCAACTAGTGCCGCTTCATAATTGGAGTATGAACCGCGGCTATTTCTCGTGTCTGCTTGAAAGCAGACTCCTTTCAGGACGTGGGATTCGTTCTATTAATGTTCCAAATACGAAATTATTCTTCAACATACATTTAGTAAAAGAAGGCTATTTTTGATCTCAATGTTTTTTTTTCTTTGTAACAAATGTAGAATAATTTTGAGATAAAAGACAGGAGATGTATTTCTTCAATTTATTATTTTTCAAATAATATTTATGATATTCAAATAAAATTCATAGCGAACAATTTTATATATTTATTCTCTTTATTACTTAACTCTAAGACTAAAAAAATTAATCATTATATCATCGTGAAAAATTGATGTATAAGTGGCAAGCATAATTATTAATTAGGCAGGAAGTGCATCCATAGAAGAGAGAGACTATACAGTGGACGAAGTGAGGAACATTATATAGCATATAGGTATAGAGCTGTAGTCGTTCTTCAGGTCCGTCGAGAGTCTAATGACAAGTAGCACGCGATCGCGCGTCGCATGTAGGTTCGCACTTTGGGACCCGAGATTGCCGGGGGAGACATTATGAAACCATGAGACAAAGGGTGGAACGGAGTTAAGTAGACGGTATAGCTTGGGGTGAGTCAAAGAGAGGAAGAGAAAGAGAGCGAGG